TCACACCTAGGGACAATTTAGAGTTACCAATCAGCCTAACATGCATGTTTTTGGACTGTGGGAGGAAACCGGAGTACCCGGAGAAAACCCACGCATGCACGGAGAGAACATGCAAACTCCACCCAGAAAGGCCCCTGGACCGGGGTTTGAACCACGGACCTGCTCGCTGAGAGGCAGCAGCTCTACCAGTTGCGCCACCGTGCTGCCCCAGATTTCACCTCGTCTTTATTTATTTTTTAACAAAAACAAAGCCAAAATGAAATGCTGTGAGAAAAAAAAAAACAACCTTAAGTCCACCCTATAATTCTACATGTTGTAGAATCTCCGTTAGTCCAGTGTCTGCAGAACAAGCCCACATCATTAGCTCCCGGTCATCATACTTGATATTTGATGAGTTTGTTTGGTTTTGTTCAACTGTGACCCTGTGAATTATGGGTAAACTGCTCTACTTTGGTTTCATCCTGGTCCTAAAGACGTTGTTTCTGAAGTCATGTGGTCCATTCACATCCATATTTAATATGCTCAGTATTTTAATTCCACAGTAGAAAAGGCTATTGGGTCTAGGAAAAAATATAAATATTTATCGGCCAAATAAGTTTTAACATATTGACATACCGGATATCAGCCAAAAATCAAATATCATGCATCCCTAATATGCTGCCATGTTAATTTCAGAAAGAAGCGGCTTACTGTAACTTTTCCAAACGAGTCATTTTCAGTCTTTAGTTGTACTAACATGAACTTTAAACCTTAAGCTGCTGAGGTTTATGTTTTTTTGTTGTTTGTAATTTCTTTGATTTTCATTGTGGAAGGATGAATTCTGATTGTGTGGAAATGGGTTTGTAACACTTTCCTGATCAGTGGTGAGCTGTAGCTTCCTAAAGGTCTGAATGGCTGATGTCGTTCCATCTTGGCATTGGATTAACCAGCAAACTACCAAAACTCCCTTCGTTTTGTCAGTCTGTTTGACTTGAGCTGCTGCTTTTTAAAAAATCTATACAACCAGCAAGTGTGGACTTGATTTGAATTTTTCCACATGTAGATTTTCCATTTCGGCTTTGTTTTTGTTGAATATTTAATCTTTTTTTTTTTTTATTTGTGGTTAAGTTTAAAGTATTTTCCAACGTGGTGAGGACCACATCATTACGTCCTGATACACACAATTGAAAGAGTAATGCAAAAGTACACCTGAAGGTAAAATGATTGTGACGTTTAAATCAAAACATTTGTTCAAAATTCAACTGCTTTATTAAAAAGTCGGCATGTTGACATTCCAAGAAGGCAGAAAGGGCACAAAGATGTACTACTAGACAGAAAATACAGCAAGTTTTTGGAGGATTCATGCTACATAACCGCCACGCCAAAGAAAGAGGAATAAAGCCAAGTGAACGCTTTAAACAGAAACCCTTTGTCTGAAATGTGTTCTTCCTTTTTTACATCACTTTGAAAATCTTTACACAACTCTTCTCAGTGCATCTGCAGCAGAAACAAATGGAAGCAACTGACAAAATTATCCATAAGCTGGTATCAAAGATGGTGCAGTTATTCATTCAAAACAAATAAAAGAAACACTGAGAAGCAAACTGCAGATAAATGTCTGCAGGACGGGGATTATTCAGTTGGGATTTTTATTTCAAGTTGAAACTATCAGTATCTTACATTCACATTGATACATGCCTCGGCTGTAAAGTACAAAAATACCTCCTTTTTTTTTTTACAGCGATGATTCTTCAAAGTTGTACTCCAGAAATTATATTTGTGGTTTTTGAGGAAGAGGTTGGAAAAATAATCAACAAAATTGATGGGTGTAAAAAATAAACTTGTGTATTTAACTGCAGGGATACAACCAGTTTACAAATTCATATTAATCAGAACAGACCTGGCTGTTTGGGCATTTCAAAGCTAACATTTGATTAATGGCCATAAATTCTGTTAACTCTTTTAATACTGGAAAAATTAAGGTTATAATAAGCTGATCATTTGTCCATTAAAACAAAAAAAAGTAGCAGGCATCCAGTGGAAAAAGTTTATGCATAAAATCCAACATTAACCCCACGTACATCTGATAACATGGATGAAAAGATGGATGAAAAATGGACATTGAGATGTTTCGAAAAGTCAATTTAACATTCACCCTGTTGGTGTCCAGTCGTTGCGAAGACAAAAAACTTACAGCTAATGGATAAAATGAAACATGTACTAACATTAAAATCTATCATATCGCCAAACACCAATTTTGTTCAAGGTTAAATAAATACCCAGCTCAGTGGAATGAAAACGAGTACAGCGGGACAGTAAACGACGAATGAATGCTGCCCTTCAACAAGGCACATTGCACTGGATACATTAAGGCCTTTGCAACCCAAGCTTTTTTCAAGGGAAACATTAAAACAGTAAAAACATCCTCTGGAACATGCTTGAAATAATTCTTTGTTTAAAGCCAAACCTAAATTGAATATGAGAGATATAAACGGAAGGCTTTTTCTTTGCAATGAAATGACACTTTTCTAGTGTTTTAAAATAGCTCAGAAATAACGACATGAAATCCTTCAATTTATCTGAAAATGACAAACATATACCCCTTTGTACTGGACAGGAATGATCCTTAAATGTCCAGTAAAATGTAAAAAAAAACCAAAAACAGTTTGATTAGGGTCAAAACATGTAATTAATAATAAAAAAATGTAAACCAAAAAGGCTTCATGAACGGAGTTGAACATTACCGGACTGAGCTGTGAACAAGACACATTTATATCCATCATCGTGCTGATCAATGGCCTTGTTAAAACTAAATACAATTCCCTTCTTTCCCTTTTTATGGAAATAATGGAAGCTGTGACCACAGCGTTAAAGGTAAAAACGAGTCGTAAAGATAGATTAATGATATGATGGTAATCAGAACTTAAGTGTGAGGATGAGGAGGGAAGTTGGTACTACTGAAATGAATGAATGAATACTGACAGATGGATAAATATGACCTCATTTTGCACAAATGTACACTGAATATACATTAAATGATTGCCCCATTGCACAAAAGGTAGAACGGAGTATTAAGATTTAAATCCAGACTCCTACTGATAATTTCAGACATTAGGTTGGTGAAATAAAAATAATCCCAAGTGTTAATTTTCTCAGATTACTACTTTTCCTTTGAAGGAAAGTTAAAATGCGCAGATTTGAGTTCCATCAAAGCAACTCAGACCGCCTGTTTTTACAAGTCAAACATTTTTAACAGAAACTGGACACAGAACCGTTCAGGTATAAAAACTGAACCGCTTCCATTCACTTCAGTTTTCAGCCACAACTGTGACATCTTTAAGGCCAGGTTTAAATGATAAAAGGTGATTTGTAAGATGGAAAAATACAAGTTTACAAATAAACCTACACATCTAGTTTTTATTCATCTGGTCACCTGTTGGACAAACCTCTTCCTTTTAGATCCGATATGAGAAGTGTTTTCTAAAGTACTGATAAGCATAAGAGCTACCATTTACAATAAAAGGCAAACATTTAATGTAGCAAACGGTTTTAATTTAATATGTATGACTTCCTTAAAGGCTGAGAAATTAGTTTTTGTACAATTTAGTTTAACAAAAAATAAAGATGTTCTGTTTTTACAATACTGGTTTTAAATGCTTTATAGGTCTGAATAAGATAAAGAGGGGTGGGAGCAAGACAAACAAAATCTGAGTCTGCATTATTGTTCTGCTTTATGATACTTTTACCTTCTTTTGATCTCAGTACTGCAAAAGCCAAATGAAAAGTACAAAAACAAAGATTGGTAGATTTACCTGTAGGCAGAGCACGTGGAAGAACTAAGTCACATCATAGACAGCTTTTCTAATTTTAGAGCCACTGTCAAGTTACAAGAAAGGTACAATAGACTGGAATTTCCTTGTTTAAATAAATACAATTCTTAGAATGGTTAAAATAAAATGAAACTGGGATAAAACATGACATCTTAGATGAGCAGCGAATAAAAATTCCCTCCAAAAAAAATAACTTCTTTCACAGATTTCCTTTATCGATTTTTTTCTTCTTTTTAGCAAAAATGAAAATATATTTTTATATTCTTTGCCACTGTCCTTTAAAAAAAATGATAGTACCGATGAATCTTCTGAAATACATCTACAGCTGTACAGTAGCTCAACAATAGATCTTACAGTTTAATTTATGGGACAAAAAACAATTTGACATAAAACTTTTTTATGGGTTAAAAATGGTCATAATAAACGATAAGTAGTAAACAATATAAAAAGGATAGAAAGATAGTGTTTGCTAATGAGATTCTTGGAGAGTTGTTTTTTCTTCGATGGCCTGTTTTACAATTTCTGCCAGCTTCAATCTGTCGACTTTATCAGAGAAGCCTCGCCCTGCAATAACAAAAAGTTAGAGTTAAAGAGTTGCCGAACACTCAAACTGTGAGAAAACAGAATCTGTGAAATGATTCGTGGAATTGGTTTAGTTTGTTTGAAGTGGATTTCTGTGGAGTAGCTATGAGCAGTAAGTGAGACGTCAGAGATATCTCAGTTTGGAAAACCGCTCTGACCGATAACAAGAACTCCACAAACTGTAAAACACCAAACCATCTTTTTAAGCCAATACTGTGAATGTTTTATGAAGCATTCACACTATTGTGATCCATTTTTCTTCTTTCAGCATCAGCATTTTCAGCATCTTTCTCATTCCACAATTTTTGTGCTATTTCAACAAATCGTATATCAAAATGTTCAGCTCTTTCAGGACAATCCTGCTACAAAGCCGAACCCCGCCCCCACCTAGGACTGTCAGACCACATCTCAATTTTTCCTGGCTCCTGCTTACATGCCCCAGCTGAGACGCTCTAGACCGGTACAAAAGAAAGTTAAATGCTGGATCCAGGACAGTGGCCCCATACTGAGAGATTGTTTTGATCGAACAGACTGGCAGGTTTTCAGAAAAGCTGCTGAAAATGGAGGATTACTTGATCTGGACCAATACACATCCTCAGTTCTGGGTTACATTAGTACATGTACTGAAACCGTCTCCACTATCAGAAATGTTAAAAGCTACCCAAACAGAAAACCTTGGCTGAATGCAGAGGTGCGTACCCTGCTGGAAGCCAGGAACACTGCCTTCAGGTCTGGAAACTCAGAGGAGCTGAGTAGGACAAGAAAAGAGCTGGTTGCTGGTCTTAAGAGGTCCAAGGGCACATATGCAAAGATGATCGAGGGTCAATTCATCTCACAAGACCCTCGGAGCATGTGGAGGGGCATTAAGTGTATAACAGATTATAAAGGAAGGAGTGAACAATGCCCCAAAGACCCATCTCTGCCTGATGCCCTCAACAAGTTCTATGCACGCTTTGAAGACCCGAACAGACCACCCAGCACCAGACTCACCTCACCACCGGATGAAGAGCATCTCAGCGTGACCTCAGCAGCAGTAAGGAGTACCTTCAGGAGGATTAATCCGCACAAGGCAACCGGCCCAGACAACATCCCCAGAAAAGTGTTGAAGGAATGTGCTGATCAGCTCTGTGAGGTGCTGGCAGACATCTTTAACACCTCACTTACCCTGGAGACAGTTCCCACCTGCCTGAAGACTGCCACCATCATCCCAATCCCAAAAAGCTCTACAGTGACTGGTCTGAATGACTATCGGCCAGTGGCCCTCACCCCGATAGTCGCTAAATGCTTCGAAAAACTGGTCATGACTCGCATCAAAACAACCATCAACATCAACGAGGACCCTCATCAGTATGCATACCGTGAGAACCGATCAACAGAGGATGTCATCTCCTCTGTGGTCCACACTGCGCTCAACCACCTGGAGCAGAAAAACTCTTACGTCCGTATGCTCTTTGTGGACTTCACATCCGCCTTCAACACCATGATCCCCCAAACCCTGATGGACAAACTATTCACTATAGGACTAAGCCCCTCCATCTGCAACTGGGTACTAGACTTTTTAACAAACAGACCACAGTCAGTGAGGATCCGCAACTTATTCTCCTCCACCATAACCCTGAGCACTGGCTCTCTTCAGGGATGTGTGTTGAGCCCCCTCCTGTTTACTCTGCTCGCATATGATTGTGCAGCTACCCATCCAGGCTGTCACATTGTAAAGTTTGCAGATGATACAGCGGTGGTGGGATGCATCACAAACAATGATGAGTCCAGCTACAGGCAAGAGGTGGAACACCTGGAGAGCTGGTGCAGAGAGAATAACCTTCACATCAATGTGAAGAAGACAAAGGAGATGATTGTGGACTTCAGAAGGAACAAAAACATCTACACCCCCCTGAACATAAGAGGATCTGCGGTGGAAGTGGTCTCCAGCTACAAGTACTTGGGTGTACACATGAATGACAACCTCAGCTGGAGCAACAACACCACCAGCCTGATCAAGAAAGCTCATCAGAGACTCTACTTCCTCAGACAGCTGAGATGAGCTGGTCTGGGAAGCTCAGTCCTCACCTCCTTCTACAGGTGTACAGTGGAGAGCATCCTGTGCTCCAGCATCAACGTGTGGCATGGAGGCTGCACAGCTGCAGAAAGAAAAGCTTTGCAGAGAGTGGTGAAGGCTGCACAGAAGTCTATCGGAGTCGGTCTCCCCACCATCACAGACATTTACACCTCTAGATGCAGGAAGAGGGCCACCTGCATCATGAAGGACCCCACTCACCCAGCTCACACACTTTTTGCCCCGCTCCCCTCAGGAAGGAGGTTGAGGAGCATTAAGTGTAGAACCACTAGACTGATGAACAGCTTCTACCCTGAAGCAGCTTATTTAAACTTAATTCAGCAAATATGTGTTCTTTCTGCTTTCTTCTGCTAATTTAGGCTTGCTCTTCCATTTCAGCTAGATTTCAGCATGAATTTAGCTAATTTCAGCTGTTTTTCAGCAAGTAATAAGCAATAAGCATTTACACTGCATTTTCACAGGAAATGCAATTTCTCTAGTATTGATTTAACTTTAAGCACATGGATTATAGCTCCAGGAGGAAGTTGTATTTTAAATTGGCCTTTTGTTCTTTAAGATATTCTCTAAATTAACACGTATGGAATCTCATTTGGCTTTAATGATACTGGACAAAAGTGCTGTTAAAGAAGTGCAAACTGCATCACTCTGCATGCAGCTGCTAATAAAGAATATTCACAAACATCATCATGTTCTAGGTCAGGGCTCTGCAACCTTTGTAATTAAAAGAGCCATTTCAACCATCTTCCCTTCTAAACTAAGTTTGATTGAAACCATAATATTTACTTGGCTTGAAGAGTACACTTGGGGAAATCTCTGCACTTTACGGATGTTGAGTCAGTAAAATTATCCTCTGATGTAAACAAGTTAGTGGGAGAATAATGGAGTCAGAGATGTGAGGTCAAATGTGAAAAGTAAAGTTCTTCGCTCTTAGAAAAGAAACACCTAAAAGCTGTAAGGACAAGAGTCAACAGATGTTGAATAATTTTAAGGTGTTAATCACAAATTGGGATTTAGACCATGTGCAAATGAGCTGCGTTGAAATATCCCAAACTCTAGCGGGAGGTTTCTGACTGACCCCTAAATGTAGTTATAAACAAAGGGGAGGAATGTTCGTGGTTTTCTAATGCAATTTTTATAAAAGCTCTGAGTCTGAGTTACATTAACCCTCCGTCAACTATTTAATAATCTAGGAAGTGTGTTAGAAGGATAAAAATTCTAATCAGAAATGTTAAAAAATAGCATATTTTGACAGCGTTTACGAGTTAACTTTAGTTCAGAGAATAATGAATGATAGCTTCTTTGCATTTAGCGGTTATAGGAAAAGAGAAAAAGGTGAAAAAGGCACCAACCGTCCCAGTTGAGCCCGTGCAGGCCGTCTCTCAGCAGCTTACAGTCTCTGTTGAACCTCCAGGCTTCATGCATCACTTCATTCAACTTCTCATCCTCATTTTCTCCTAAAACACACAAATATTCACCTCAGAATCTAACATCCATCTCTTTTAAGCCATATCTGGTAAATTCTTGTCATCTCTTTACAAAATGTCCTCTGTGTAAGCTGTGATAGATAAAAAGTTCACATAGTACTGTTGTTTTACATATTTTATTTATGGACGTCTTCCACAGCCAAACTAACCTACAATATAAAATGCAATTTTTAAATGTTTCCTGCATGCAAAGAATCTACTTTAGTTTCTTAATCCAATAAGTACTAAAAATGCATTCTTGAAAAAACAAAACAACTAAATACGTCATCCTTCGGTGTGCTGCAGGAAACAACAGTATATCGACATTAGCTGTGGGTTTGCAGTTACTGACCAGCCTGTGGTAGTATACACTGTGCAATGACGTCTCTTAATTTTTCAAGCGCTACGTTGGAGTCCTCCCCTCCATTTTCTGGGTCGTTAATGAAGAAACTGTCAGTAGGTTTGGAGCTGCAACATCGAGAAAGCACATTGGAGAGCAAACTTTTACAAAACCCCACAACAAATTATTAAAAGTAAATTGGAGAGAAACAATAATCCAGACAAAACAAAGGCATCAAAGTACTAATTTTACCCTCCCTGAGCTGCCACATCAGTTTAATAATAACAAGGGGAGTTTAAAAAAAACTATCGTACCCAAGCAGCTTCCTCTTCCTGAGGATTGGGTTGTTGACGGAGTTTAGGGGCTTGAGGCTCACGTTCAGATCCTGAATTCTCATGTTGGCAAGCTGCTCTGCATGTGCCTGCTGGATACCTGCAACTACCGCCTGGAAGAGGAGAACAGATCCGTGAGACAAAACCAAAAGCTACAATCCCAGTCCAGACAAGTGAGTCTGTCCCACCTGTTTTCCACAACTGTATTACCAATAGTTGCAGAGCGGGTTGAGAGTGAAGACCACAAGTAGAGATTACTCTGAGCAGCAGCTTCTAGCTCACCTTGTCCATCATCATCTGTGGGGACGGCAGCACGTTGTCGAGGGCCTCGGTGCAGTTGAGCCACGGGTGAGCCAGCACTCCGTTGATAGTCAGCCTCTCCTCTGGCTTTACCTTCAGCAGCCTTCAGACAGGTGAAGAGGAGACAGAAATAATACAATGAATGAGTTCAAGTAGGTTTAGTATCATTTGCATCACATCTGGTACACGAGTTGGAATGAAATTATGTACACAGGGTCCCAATTACACCCAACAATAGCAGAATATAATATGTAAAAAGAAACTGTAATAAGAATCTAACATTTAAACTAATACGCTAAACAGTAATAGTGTAAAACAAGTGGATGGGATGCAGAAACACAAAAGAGATAAAAGATGCAAGAACTTAAACAAAGACTAAAATACACAGAAAAGACCTTTTAGAAACAATGACAAGAAAATACTAAAAATACTTACTTGCGTACGACGTCCTTGGCCATCTCAGAGATCTGGCTCCACTCATCTTCGGGGAAGTCAAAGCTGCCTGTCATGATCTTCTTCCTCATGTCCTTTGGGATGGTGCGACTGTGATGTTTGGAGTAGAACGGAGGATAGCCGCACAGCATAATGTAGATAATCACACCGAGGGACCACAAGTCACAGCTCTGCAGAAACACAATTACAATTTATTGTTTTTTGTGTTTCTGCTGCAAATAAAAGCAAAATAAAAAAAACATACAAGAATCGATCACGCAGCTCTTCAAGAACTCACTCACTCACTTTTTATTTAGCAAGCAACATCAGAGCCCCTTTGCGATGAACCACCCATCCTTACCCGTCATTGCTTTTGTTTTTATTGCGCTTATTTGGCTAAGGTTTATATTCTGTTTATCTTTGCCATTTTTTAGGAAAAAGCAGCAGATTCTTCTTTGTTGAAATGTTTCATCTTTTATTAAAAAGACTTCTTCAGTCTGAGGAGCTGCAACAAACTCGGTCTTATAAACAGCAGTTTTATTTGCTTGCAGCTCCTCAGACTGAAGAAGTATTTTGGATAAGACAAAATGTTTCAACAAAGACGACTCTGTCCAGAGGAACTGACTTGACCTGATTCATCTACCTGGATTATTGAGCACGCACCATGATAATATTGAAAGGCAAATTTCAACTCTTAATGTGAAAACCTTTTGCCGAGGTCTCATTTGCGACTACAGCTTAGAAAAAAACTTGTGGTAACACATGGGTAGAATAAATCACGAGGGTTAAAAACATTTTTTGTAGGTTAAACAAAAGTTCAACAACTTTTCTCTGCTTTGAGTACACTGCCCTACAGAACCTCACTGACCTACACAAGGTGAGGTCAATGAACAAGGCCAGGCAGATTCTGGCAGATCCTGATCACCCACTCCATGGTGACTTCAGGTTGCTTCCATCTGGACGCAGGTATCGGCAACTCAGATGTATGATGAACAGACTGAAAAACTCAGTCATCCCTGTAGTGATCAGGTTTCTCAATGAACATTGAAGACTTCTGTATTATTTTAACGCCTTGTGCAGTATGGACGTTTCATCTCTACCCATCAGGCGATGGGAGCTGTACCTTGCTATATGTGTAAGGAGTTGGTGAGGTAGGTATGATTCCAGACTTTTCCTTCTGATGTCTTCTTTGAGCCTCAAGTACCTGCACAGAAATATAAATATTTATGTTTATTTTAATCTAAAATGATAAAATGATAAAACAAACAAATACCAGAAAAGTTAAAACAAGCAGAACTGTAGCTAAAATCAGCAAAAACAGTAGCTAAATGTTAAAATGAGCACTTTGGGCTATTTGAACTTATTTAACTTTGCAAAAGGTTAAAATAGAAGAAGTAATTTGATTGCATAAAAACGTATGAAGGAAACTATAAACGTGAAAACAATAATGTGAACACAGACTCAGGATTCTCACAATTAGGGAACGTTTTGGTACCTGAGGTGCTACGTAGTAAGGAGTGAACTGAGGGGTCATCAAGTCCCCTTGATCAATTTTGGCAAAGCCAAAGTCACATAACTTCACAGGTGCATCCTTTGAGAAAAATTAATTATGGAATTAGAGCAAAAACAGAATGTAGCAACTTTCACTCGTTATATTGCAGAAATTTTATTGATATCACTGAAGTTGACAAGTGCATGATCTGATTGCAAACTGTCTAAACAACAGAAGTTTGGACATTTCCACCACACACAGCCCAAAAAAAACAATTCTTACTCCATAGTATCAAAGGTTCTGGCTGCGGAGTTGAATTTCTGAGACTTTCAACATCTGTGGCAGCTGTGCTTGTCCTAAAAATACTTCTAAAGGTTTATGTCTACGTGTGCAACGCAGCTCAGCTTGAGCATCTTACCAGAGAGTTATCTTTGAAGAGCAAGTTCTCTGGCTTCAGGTCACGATGTGCAATATTCAGAGTGTGACAATGTGCCAATGCTTGACTAATCTGCAAGCGGAACAGACGTCACACAGAGACGTTTGATGTGCACAGCAAAGCCTTTTTACAGCGGTTGCCTCTTCCATTTCATAGTTTAAACAGAATCTGAACAGCTTAATTAAAAAAGACAAAGTATAAGGCTTAACATACCTGTTTAGTGACCTGACTGGCCATTTTTTCAGTAAAGTGCCTGTGCTGACTGATTCTGTGGAAGAGCTCACCACCCTCCATCATCTCCATAACAATCAGAAGTCTTGCTCTGTAAAAAAAAAAAACACACACAAAAAAAAACCCATTACAGATAAAACAAGTTACTGTATTTTCCGGTATATAAGTCACATCAGTCAAAAAAAGCATCACGAAAAAAACAGCGTATAAGTCGCATTCATTATGCGTCACCGCTGACCCATCGTGTTTATTATGCATTTATTTAATGATCAAAGCAGCTTCATTTTTGTGGGCGGCGCGCCATCCATCATCTCTCCAGCGTTCCTCCGCCTGCACCAGCTGAGTGAAGCAAGCGTGCACGGGGGGACTCGCTGTTGCAGTTCTTCAAAATTTAAAGCGTCAGTCAAAAATTGTATTAAGAATATGAAAAAAAGTACAAGTTGCTTCGGCATCTAAGTCGAAGGATTGACAAATCTATGCAAAAAAAACCCCTGCAACTTATATGCCAGAAAATATGGTAAATACAATCCCACTATTCTGAGAAGGAATGCATCACTGATGACTTTCATGCCAGTTTTATAATAAAATGATCTTGAGAAGCGATGGAGCTGTAGCCGTTTTGACCAAAGCCTTGAAAGTAATGTTACGCTCATGTAATTTCACAAGATATCACACTAAGAGTATGTGTTGTGATGGACTGTCAGCTACTGCTACATGAAATAGTAGCTGGATATCTATAAACCGTACCGAGTAATAGCCGTTCTAGTGTTGGCTAATGTCGACCTTCTTGAATTAGACTGACTCCAAAAGTTGATCTGTTGTACAGGTGCATCTTAAAAAATGAGAATATTGTGAAAAATTCAACCATTTCAGAAAGTGAAACTCGTATATTACATAGATTCAATACACACAGTGAAATATTTCAAAACTTTATTTCTTGTAATTTTGATGAATATGGCTTAATGAAAAAACAAAATTCAGTGTCTCAAAAAATGACAACATTGTGAAGATGTTGTAAACTCCTGGTGTCTCACCCTAATCAGCTGTTTAACACCTAGACATGAGCTAAAAGTGTCTCATTCCTCAAGTCAAGTCACTCCTGAACCAGAGACAACAGAAGCGTCTTGCTTGGGCCGAGGAGAAAAAGAACTGGACTGTTCCTCAGTGGTCCAGTGTCCTCTTTTCAGATGAAAGTAAATTTTCATGTCATTTGTAAATCAAGGTCCCAGAGTCTGGAGGAAGAGTGGAGAGGTCCAGAATCCACGTTGCTTTAAGTCCAGTGTGAAGTTTCCACAGTCAGTGATGGTTTGGGTCCATGTCCTGTGCTGGTGTTGGTCCACTGTGTTTTATGAAGTCAACGCAGCATCTACCAGGACATTTTAGAGACTTCATGCTTCCTCCTGCTGAAGAGCTTTATTGAGGTTATTTCATTTTCCAGCAGGACTTGGCTCCTGCCCACACTGACAAAAGTACCAAAAACTGGCTGTGGAATATTCTAATTTTCTGAGATGCTGAATTTAGATTTTTTTATTGTCATAATCAAAAAAATATATAAAAGAAATAAAGGCTTGAAATATTTCACTTTGTGTAATGATTCTATGTAATATAGGAGTTTCACTTTCTGAAATGATAAACAAAAAAACCCTAACTTTTTCATATTAATTATTTTGAGATGCACCTGTGTTGTACAACTAAATACTATTTCCTAAAAGTTTCATTACAATCTGACCAGTATTTTGTGTCGTATTTTGCTAACAGACAGAGCTGGCAAATAGTTAAGACCTTATATAATCTTTTAGCTGTCAAAATATGTACCAGGGATTACTCTCAGCTACTACCACACCAAATTTTAGATAAATATTTGTAAAACTGATTGAGTTATAACCATTTTAGAGTTTATTTTAAGTCTGTCAGCCATCTTGAATGGGGTTCAATCAAAAAGCTAATCAGTTGTAGAAGTGCCATCCATCCATTACCTTTACCCACTTCTTCCTTTTAGGGATGCAGGGGTCACTGGTGCTCCCAATATTTGTTCTGTGAGAGGAAACCAGAGTGCGCAGAGAAAACCCAGGCACGAACGGAGAGAACATGCAAACTCCACCCAGAAAGACAGCCGGGATTCAATCCGGCAACCTTCTCACTAAGAGGTGGCAGCTCTACCAACTGTGCCACCGTGCTGCCCTAGATGTGCTTCCAAGTAGTGCCAATTCCATTCTACTGCTTCTTGAGATATTTTGCTAACACTGCAGACAAACAACTGCATGTATACAAACACTGGCAAAAACATCATGGCACCTCGCCTTTAGCTGCAGGCGATAATGGTCAGGAGACGGGACGGACACACTGCGTGCGAATGAGCTTCATACCTGGAGCTGGACTCATGGGGGAACTGGACACTGTTGGCGTACACCTCCAGTATTTGCACGATGTTTGAGTGGTTGGCACACATCATATGGAGACGCACCTGGATGAAATAAAACAGTGAGTTAAAGGCACTTTATTCAAATCTGCTGCATTCTCACTTTGAAATAGCCGTACCACAGAAGAGCGTCTACATACACCCCGTCAAAATAAAACTGTGGTGTTTAATGGTTCATTTAAATAGCGGTGTAACATGTAATATATATTTGTTACATTTAACACTCTGAATTCAAGCTAATGTCTAAAACAAACAAACAAAAATCCATTATAGTTGTATATTTATACATGTACAGTAATTGCACTGTTAAGACAACTCAAAGCAATTTTATTTAAAATTATTATCTACACACAAAACACCCTAAATTTACGAGCTATTAAATAAAAACCTGAAGTATATGTTTCTCAGTGTCGGTTTTTTCTTGTCAAGTGTCAACTTTCACAGTTCGTCAGCGCGAGCCTGTGAAGCATATCTTGTTTTCACTGCTTTGATCAAAACAGTGGACCGCTAATGACATGAAGAAGCTGCTAGACAAACTGTTCTCTGCAGGATGACAACAAGAAAGCGCGGACAAGAGGCCGAAGCGCGGTAGACAGAGCGACAGGCAGAAAAACAATGATGACTTGCACTTGTTTTTAGTGGGCTAACCTCGTTTCTGGCCTTGGGACGATCAATGAGGATTTTTAGGGCCAGACGTTCGTGAGATGACTTCTTCATACACACTCTGGAAAACATAAGGAGTAAAAAAAATATTAAAAAAAACAAAAACGGTACAAACAGTATATAGTTCAGATGTTATATGGATTGTAATTTTTACAGAAACAACCACAGACCAGGCCGTGCCTTTGTTGCTCCATTGGACAGCCTACTGTGTATTGTGTGTGTGCATCTGCATACAAAGTAAGTAATTGATATTCGACTGCAAACATGTTTCAGAGTACTTATTTACTGCCTGGTGGGAAAGCTCTCAATCAAAGCGGCCCGCTTGCAATCCCATTACCCAAAACGGATATTAATGCAAGGTCTGAACACGGCCTCAGAGACAAGACAGAGCATGAAAATGTGAATCTTGTCTGTAGAACCAAAATAAATCCAACTAATCTTTCATTGTCACATAGTTTAAAATCGATCCATCATTCCTTGTTACGGGGGTCGCTGGTGCAAGAGGTGAGGTACACCCTGGATAGGTCTCCAGTCCATCACAGGGACACACAGAGACAAACGAGACAAGCAACCATTCACTCTCTCTATCATGAATTTTCACTTTAAACAGCGACCTCTGGCCCGCACGCTCAGATTACTTTATTAAAGTATTACCACAGAAAACGTTCTGCTTCGGCCAAAGGTCAGTTCAGTGGAAAGAACTACCTGCGTAATGAATCACCGAGTCAGAGAGAGGAGGGTTGGGGTTCAATGTGTTTGGTGGCAGAAAGAGTGAGGGGGTGGGGGGGTCAGTAAGGAGCTGATAGTGTTACTTCATAAAAATCAGAGCAGAAACCAAACTCAAACACGAGACAGGATGAGCAAAGTGCCACTCAAAAAAAAGAAACGGTCCCATCATAAATCCCAGAGTCTTTAGACAGAGAGATGTTGAGGTAATTTCTCAGTATTCTTGTCGAGTCAGACTGAAGTGACCAACCTGTGAAATAAGTAACTGTTTGCTCTTGCCTCATTTTGACCTGTGATACATTCAAAATGCAGAATAAACAATAACGCCGTTATCTGTGATCGGACAGATACTTCTAAACACCAAGACTGCAGTCTCTCAAAAGAAGGTTAATTTTCTATCCACATCGTGCGAACTTAACCTGCCAAAGTATTTATTAGCCGAAGTAGAGTTTCGATTACACACTAAAATGTTACGTCATTCTGGTTGTAAAGTTAAAAGTTATGGATTAGATTGAAGCTCAGCAGGCACACACATTGTGTCTTAGTCAAATAAAACAACAAGAACGATGCAAAGACCAAGGATTTCCATATTAAAGCTTCATGGCCTGTTGCTCCTTATTTGACCAAATAAAGCAAGTGACAAAAATCTGACACTTTTTAAACATAGTTTCTAGCCATAGTGTCCTTTATTTAAAATATAATTTATTTATATACAGTACTATGACAGGGATTAGGTAGAAAAGGGTGGAAGTGACATGCAACAAAGGGCTGAACACAAGAGACTCAAACTTGCTTTGGATATTATTATCATTATTATATTATGTTTTCGTTACTTTTCCTTTTGATTTTCTTTTTTGGTTGCCATTTTATTTTAACTTGTTAAAAAAATAATAATTTGTACATATCTTTTATGATTGTCTATTGCTGTCTACTGTTGTCATCACTCTGTTAAAAATTCAGGTCTCCCATGTAAATGAGTCCCCAAGGCTCAATGGGATTAACCTGTATAAATAAAGGTTGAATGAAAAAATATACTGAAGACAGAGTTTCCATTAATCGGCTGAACTATCCAAAACTCCATCCATATTATTCTTATTCACAAGGTGTGTTCATGGGCTCAGTGAATAAAAATTAAGCTATTTTTGTGAATAATGCAGAGAACAAGATGCAGTAAAAACACAATAAAATGCAAACTTCCAACGTGTTTTTGAAGAGAGATACTGTATGTGTTTATTCAACAGCCCACTTAGTATATCACATGAATCTGTTCCATCGTCATCTCTGCAACAGCATCCAGTGATATAATCCCACACAGCAGCAGCCAGGGTTTACAGCAACATTTATGTTTTCTCTTTAATCCTATCACATGTTACAATACTCTGAGTAAACCATCAACAGATTTATATGAAACTAGATAGCGATTTAACTTGACCCTGTCTCGGCACACATGTCAAACATGTCCCAGTTTGATTTTGTAACCTGAGCAGCAGCAGACAAAAACTGGCAGCACAAATAAATCCTCCTTCATGAATGACAGCAGCAGGGGTTAAAAGGTTACTTTGTCAAACATAAACAAATATTATGACAATACCTTCCGAACGGTTTAGACTTTACCTGTTACGACTGAGTTTATCATTTTAAAATTAAGAATTATACAGAGTCATATTGGTAATAGCAAAAGACTGACAGCTGAGGAAACTGTACGAACCTGACAGGTCCGCTGATTCCAGCTCCCAACTTCTGTGTCCAGTTTATGTTGTATTCATCCAGAATCGACGTCTCCTGTTTGAAAGACAACCCAGAACTGATAATGTACCAAATATTTGAAAGAAGTAAAGAAGAGACTGACAATAGTGCTCAAAAGATTTTGTTAAAACAGAAACATGTTTGTGATTCCAACATTTTTCAGTCAGGTCATCTGGACGGTTTCTTTTTTTGTGCTGAAACGTTTCGCCTTCGATCCAGAAGGCTTCATCAGTCAAGGAAACACACGACAAAACTGATTCTTCCTCCAACAGCTTACTCCAAAGTGGAACAAACCAGTTCTGCTTGTGTTAAGATGGTCTCTTTGGTACGCCCCTCCTCCATTGCCGGCCCTCTTCCTTGTTGACAGTCTTGTCAAACTGGTTGAAAACAACAAAGTCCATGCTCAATAATCCAGGTATACAATCCAACATTTTTCAGTCAGGTCATCTGGACAGTTTCTTTTTTCGTGCTGAAACGTGAAGAGATGAAGCCTTCTGGATCGAAGGCGAAACGTTTCAGCACAAAAAAAGAAACTGTCCAGATGACCTGACTGAAAAATGTTGGATTTTATACCTGGATTATTGAGCATGGACTTTGATGTTTGTGATTATTTTTACTTTTCTCAATACCAAACATAGAAACACGTTTTTTTTTTTCTGAATACCCAGAATAGCACCTGAAATAAACATTTATAGCAACAAACTTTTTATATTTGTAGAACTTATTTATAGAAGAGCTAAGAAGCAGCATTCCCCCCTCCTCTGTGTTAGCACTCACTTGTATCATAAGTAAACATCCATTATCCTTTGTCTGGTTTCACAACAGTCAGTGTGATCCTTAACAGAAAGTATTTGTAGACTAGACAAAGACAAACAAGCTTCCTATAAATATGTTAAAGATTAGTGACTTTTGCCAAAACAGAGGACTGGTATGCTATGTTGAAAAACTGACGACTAATGCAAAGAAATGAGTTGAAAATCAATATTCTGCTTAAGAGTTAAATGAAGGAGAAAACAGGACTAAACAGTCTGCTTTTTGTGCAAATGCAACTCAAACAGGCAAGAAATAATGCTTAATAGGTGGCAATAAATATAGTAAAAATAAAACCATTAGATAGGCAAAAACCACACTGACCCATCAGATCTGGCCTTTTCTGATAATATTTAACTGGGCAGCATACTGGCGGTTGTCACAATAGTTTAATGTCTTGATACTAGAAGGCCTACATTAGACCAGATAAGTCAGTTAACCCACTAAAGTAGATTCATAACAAATGCTCCTGCTCCTATCCAACATACACTTGACAATATACATTACAATATACATTTCTCAACTATTTCTACTCTCCCAGCTGGATACCAGAAGTCAAAGAGGTCAAGTTTTCCCGCAGACATAAAGATGACTAAGGAGTGACACAGGAACAAATCTCGAGTCAGGTAGTGTGTTCTTGATTACGTTCCACTGCCCAGAATAAGGTTGCTTGTTTAACTTTCTGCCATACTTATAAACACAGATACATTTGTTGACATCCTCATCATGTATCTAGGTAAATTCCTGTCTGGCGTATGTGTTTTTCTATCCCTCCAGGATTTTCCTCCATGAAGGATATGATTCAAAGCGCAATGGATGGTGTAATCACAAGCGTTTGACTCTAATAGTTATATATGATTTCCTTGGCTCTTTTTCTACCATCTGTCTGATAAACGTGGGGTTGCATTTCCTCTTGCGTCCGTGTTCTGAGAGGTTGGCTATAGTCCCACAAACCTTATACTTTTTTTTTTTTATAACACTGGCAGCCGTGGTCAGAAGAACAGCTTGGAGGTGGCCTCATAGTCCTTAACTTTAAAATAGATATCTATCATCTTCTTTCTGAATTCCTCAGACAGCTCCAGTCTTTGCTCCACGTTCAGTGTTGTGCACACAACAAAACCAAGAGCGGTTTGCTCTTTTTAAATAGACTGAATGTCTGATAAAAAGCTTGAAGGTGACACTAATTAAAGTCAAACAGTTTGAAACAGGATTATATGGCAAAGATCATTAGTCTCTAATGATAACAACAAATCTATTAGCATATTTTTTTTGTAATAAACAACAAATCACGTCTCAAAAGCATGAAGATACATTGCATGTGTGTGTATATGTATATATATATACACACACACAAGCATTGTTTCATTGAGTTGTAAGGATACCCAATTTATTCATGTCTAATTTCACAATTTAAATGCCAGGCTGTCACATGAAAATTAATAATATAATGTTGTAGACACAGATCATAAATAAATGAACTAAGCAGCAATAAAGATATGACATTAATGCTCTTGCCTTGATGAATTTGTCTGGGTTGTTATCCTCTGACATGACGGTGCTGTGCTCCGGACAGATCAAGTCTTCAGGTGTCAGGAAGTAGAAACAAAGCGTTTACTCTGACCTTAACAAAGGCTCGGCCTGCCTGGGCCAAGGCTTGTTATATCACTGCTGATGACAAAATAAGGCCATTACAGCGAAATGATATTCGCCCACAGATCAGCCAGAGCCGAGCGTGGTCCGCCCGGAGACCCGAAGCCCAGCAGCCGGTTCGATGTGACGTTAGTTCAGGCCAGCTCGGCTCACAACCTCGGGGTCCGACTCGCTCTTCTCTCAAACTCACTGTAGCGACCATGTAGAGCGTCAAACTCTGGGGCAATGTCACCCAAAAACAAAACGAAAACGAAGTCAAACGTGAACAAGCCCACCACTTTTCGGCGGCGCAGGAGCGAGCATGGGAGCCAGAAGTGATATTTTTAGCCAGCGGAACGCCCCAAAAAACGGACTCGGTTACTGTTAGCTAGCCGGGCTAACAAGTTAGCCTGTGCCTCTGGTTGTTACGGTTCGATCAAATGGTTACAGAAAAACAGACGTGGAGAATCTGACCGGAGATGGGATCCAAGCGGGATGTGAGCTGATCAAACAGAGCGAGCACACCGCGTTCTCAGCGGCTTATGTCGTCGAGCTATACGCTAAAACCGAACTGCGGTCTCAAGTTAGTTTTCTACCGCCGCTAAATGCCACGGACTTTAACAGATTATTATGTTGGCACAAATATTAACAAACCCCGTAAAGTACAGTAACAATACACCAACGTTAGCGGGGTTAACGCAAAATAATTTGTGTTTGCAAAGGCACCCACATCCCTGAACTGTTTTGCTATTCGTGAGAGCAGGAATCGGCATTACATGATAGTAGTTCGTGCAGAACGCCTGATGAGAATGAGTCATCTTATTAGTTTTTATAAATTATTTCAAGCTGTAAAAAAAAATTGTTCGTCAAAAACATAACTTGTCTCCTACAAGTATATATTAGTTTTGGAATTTCTTAACATCGATGTTTATTTTTTCCCCTGTTAAATTACATTTTAAGTGGACAGTCGAGAGGTCCTCTATAAAGACCAAGATTTCCCGGTGGTTCAAGTTTGCGTTCATAAATTAAGTTTATTCTGCAGTGTGTAATGTAAGCATGTCTCTATTCTATTCTATTCTATTCTATTCTATTCTGTTCTATTCTGTTCAGTAGAAATGGAAAATGACTGCGTTGATACAAAATCCGACCCAGAAGCATAGAAACACAAAGACATAAAAATAGAGGGAGCAATAAAATCCACTCCTTTCAATATTTTACAGGGCATTTAATGTACCATATATTGTTTTCATTATTGTTTTTGCTTTAATCAGTTGCACAATATGGAAAATAGTCAACATTTTAAAATCTTGAAGTTCTGTCACCATCGATAATAAACATATAGCTTGTTGGCATTAATACACAGAGTACTTTACTTTTAAAAAAATTGTGACTATATGAACATAGTTCTTTAGTAAAAGTGTGCCAATTTTTCATTGTTCAAATAATGTTCAGCATGAACGTATGAGTACTGTACACTTTTTTTAAATGGCATGTTGGTGCCGCCTACAGGTCACAATAAGTATAAAAATCTAGAAAACTACATTTCTGTTAATACATGCATGCATTTTTAAATTTGGCGAATCTAATGATAAAACAAAACTATTTGTCTCTGGTATATAGACAGACATTTTATAACTATCCAACATTACAGAGAGCGTCCTACACACACCTTTGGTTTCAGAAAAGCACTGATGCCCAGTACTGTATATAGACAGTTCATCTTACCAGAAACATCCAACACATGTATAAATAAATGCATTATTATTATTATCTCCATCATATAATAAAACCTCGATTATAAAACAGCTACTTATTCCCATATAGACATGATTCGTTCAAAATATAAGACTGATTACAACTCACAAAATGATTAAAATGTGAAAATTGTGCAATAGTGTTATGATTAATTTTAAATTCTGAATGTACAACGTATTTTATATTTATTTAAAACAAATAATGAAACATTTGTAATTGAAATACGCATCTCATTTAATTCAGTCTTTATTTATGCATCATTATAACATCATTTTTGGGGAGGGTTAACACAAAGAAGCAGCAGGGCCAGATGAAAATGAAATGCAACGTTGAGCAGGTTCACTGTAATGCTGTAATGGCTGCAGGTATCAGCTTGGTTGTGTTTAAATACCTTGTTTGCGCGTCCGCGTGTGTGTTGTTCGCCGGTGTGCTCACGTGGATGTCACTACTAGACAGCCATGATCCTTGGACTTCCTGAAAATAGTGCCGGGGTGCAGGCGTAAATCTTTAAACGAACAAATGCTTGAATCTTTCTACATACAGTCAACTATACACACGCGCGCTTTTTCATGTTTACAATCAAAAGTTGTTAATGAATTCAGAGTATTCGTGTTGCATTAAAGAGCATGAATCGTTGCGCCTTCCATATATCCCTCCGCCGCTTTTTGTCCCCTTTCAGACTGTTTTGGTCTTTTTGCTGTTAGCAACGGAGACAACCCGAGCTAGCTGTAAACTCTACTTTGAGATAATCGATTTTCTTTTTGTTACGATTACATAACAAATTGACAATAGGTTTAAGGCACGTGTTTATTTTGGATTAGTTACCATAGCGTGTTGTCATTTTTAAATATTGATTTACCAGTTTTAATTAGAATTGTACATATCGCTAATTTAGCTAACTAGCTAACCGCTTAGCATCAGCATCCTGCTTTAAAAACGCACGTTGACGTTAGCTTGTTAGCAGAACCACACACGCCACATCTTTGTCAAGAAGTCTGTAGGTGGTCATTTTAACTCGCTGTCTTTTATGGGATCATCATGTCAATGAAGGCCGGAGGAAATCGAAGCAAACCCGGCGGTGGCAACACGACTGGTGCGGCCGCTTCTGGAGCCGGAGGAAGCGGCGGGGGGAGACCGAATCTGGGCAGGTCGGTAAATTTTCATAAATACATTTAAATAAAAACGCAATAGACAGGGGTGATGTGGTCACAAATGGTACTGTAACACGGTTATACCCCACAGGGGCAGTTTGGAGGAATGACATTTATGTGAAGTTGCTCAAATGATTTGAGAACGTTATGAGGGCCTTGCGACATGTTACCATCCACACTGAAACCTTATTCGAGGCCTGTTTTGCTCGGTCCAGTGCAGTTGTAACATTTCACCCGGTGTACTTTATATATATATATATATATATATTCCTGTGTGATCCCTCTACCACAAAATCATGCCCAGATGAACCCAAATCGACATGTTTTCCATCGATTGCTCGTTAAAATTGCTTATTAGTTCTCCATCAGCTTGAGGTCAATTTGAGTTAATTAGCCGCTTGACAGCCCGTGATGTTTGTGATTCAAATGCAGACAGTGACTGGAGCCTGTCTTCTTATCTAAACAGCTGTTAATTTAACCGACGTGCACGTTACCGCAACGTTGCTGCAACGGGATCGCCAAGAAGAAATTGCTATAAAAGCGTGTAGTGGAGAAAGAGGAGGGCGTGGATGAAGAAAAAAAAAAGGGGGGGGGGGGGGGATTATTAAACTGACTGGATTTTAATCCCTGACGCAGAGTAATTGGTGTCCTTGAATCATGACTTTATGTGCGCGTCCTAAGAGTTGACACACTGACACTGTCAGATACTAGAGGATGTCACGCGTGTTTAGATTTTTTCCTCTGTTCACCGGTCACTAGGACAGTATGTCCCAGTTGTGCTGGTTTTACTGTAAATAGAAGATTGCTCCGATGATTTTAAAAAAGAAAAAACATGGAACATAACAGCTGCTTCACTGTGTTTTACATCATGGTTGCTTAAAAAAAAAATTAAATCCTTTTTCAAGCCATGATGACTATCAAACAGTTTTTTTTTTTTCCTGGTGCTTTTTGTTTGCATTTTTAAACTTCTAACAGTCTCTTCATCGTTAAATGATGGAGAAGATGTTTTAAATCCAACTCATTAGGGTTTTTGTAAAAAAAATTGTGTTGGGGAAACTGCAAATATTGCCCTTCGCTTTTGTTTGCAACTAAATTCTGCAATCAGTTATGGAAATTGTCCCAGAATATCTCTGCGCAGCTCATTTTAATATGGTCTTAGCCCCAACTTTTGTTTTAACCCCTTCCAGCAGCTTGACCCCCAAACATACTCTACTTCTGTGAACTCTTGTTTTTTTACAGCTTTTAGTCACGGTTTCTTTTCAAAAGGAGCGAGAACTTTATCTTTTGTCTTTCAGCCTGGCCCCACTGTTTCCATTGTTCACCCTCTCTGTTTACATCAGGGGGTTGAATATTGAAAATTTGAATGTAAACAAACAACTTGTAACTGCCGGCAACTAAACATAAATCTGATGATTAAAAAAAAAATAAAAAATTGGTACAAAATATGCACATCTGTGGACCTGTATCAGAGCTCGGACTATGAGGACTATCTGGCAGTGTCCATGGACAAACTCATCACCTTCGTCGGCCTTCCTCATGCACGTGTATCGTGATGTCATCAGTATGTTGCTGTTTCTGTGCTGAGGTTTTTCTTTTTGTGTCCTGTCTAGGACACAGTGTGAGATATGATTTTTTTTTTTTTATACCTTCTCTTCCCCCCATGTTTCTCTTTCCCTATCTAAACAAAAAAGGCTGCGCCTCCCACGGGCCCGCAGCCTCACACCTTCGTCCCCCTTTCTGTTCCATTATGTTTTACTTGGACAGGCTGTACTGAAATGTAATTTTGTTGTGCTTCGGTGCAATGACAATAAAGCTGATTCTGAAATATGTGGTAGACCTTTGGTAGCACATGATGCATAAGTAATTGGTTATTTTTATCATAAAAGATACACATATACAGAAACATTTAAATAAAAATTATTGAAAAATTGCATGTTTCCACAGCTGTTATGACTTTAAGATGGTATCTCATTGAGCTACAACTTTTGGAAAATAGTTGGTGACTCAATATTGACACAAATATTTATTTATTTTTTGTCGCAGCCTAGCTAAATTTTGAGAATTTGCAATCAAGTGACCAGAGAGCAATGAGGCCATATTTTGTGTGACAAGTTTTTGAAAAACACGTGTGCATGGTTTGCAAAACTGGGTCTAGAACTAGACCTAGCTCTAAGTCTTGCACATTGTGCCCATCTTGGCAGCCACTCACAGGTTTATCATTTAATTTACTCTTCAAAATTAAAATGAGCAGATTTGGGCCAGTTTTTAAATGATAATGTATCAACAGTGTAGCTTTTAGACATGACCATGTTTTCTGTCGGTGCTCCTGTGCAGTTGGAAAAATACTGCTCTTGAGATGAGTTACAGATACTTGTGACTAAAGGGAGAAGGGTTCGAGACACTTTGTCACTATTTCAAGAGAAAAACGTTTTCAAAATTCAAATGACACGACTGTGAGCTGTTGTGACTCATGCAAGGAAACTGAGTTCCCAACAAACGTGTCAAGACATTCTGGAGACTCAGACCAGTGAGAAACTACCTTTACATAAAGAGAAACTACCTTTACATAAAGAGAA